TATAAAAAAAAATTAAATGTGCACCAATAGTGAGATTTGTTTATATTTAAATAATCAGTCTGACCTTATTGAACCTTTCTCTTTTTCCATATGATGTCAGAGTTTGTGTTTAGTGTTATATGGGCTTAGGTTTGATTTAAAAATGCAAAACCAGAAACACTTTGCCTGGAAAGGCTGCTTTTGTGCTGTTCAATAAAAGAAAGATAAGCAGCGCCCATTCCTTGCTCCACTCATGATCATGTGGGAAAGTAACAATGAAAGAGGAAATAAAAGCCTCCCCTTATATGGCTGATTCTTGGCAAAGAATCAAAGTCTGTAATAGAAATCAATCACTGACGGAGACATGACAACATTCTGCATTGAAAGAGTGTTTTCGCTTCTCTGGAGTGAATAATTTACAGTTGCTTAAATGTTGCATATTTCTTCACTTCAGGTCATAAAATACACACTGGACCCGGTATGGAAGCCCTTTACTGTGCCCTTACAATCTTTGTGCAATGGAGACATCGAGAAGCCAATAAAGGTGAATGTGTGTTTAATGCTTGACAGTATAAAGAGTATTTGTTGGCTGAATATGACAAAGGCTGCCATTTTATAAGCTAAAACACTGGTTCACAAACCTGCTTTAAAGTTAGCCATATGCCTTGAACCTTCATCAACCATATTAATGATGCTTAAGGAAAATTGTAGGATTGTAGTCCCCAGTCAACCGAGTCAACCGCAGTTTGGTAGGACTGATCTGATTCTAAGATTAAGTCTACTAAGAATAGGTGTGCCACTTATTTGAATATAAGTGTGGACTTTAATTGGATCAGAGACAGGGTTACATTTGTCCTACTGGTAAATTTGGGAGGTGCTGTCTATCACTGTACTAGGAACTAGTGATAATGCTCAGATCCACCTGCTTCTTGTCTTAATAGATCATAGTAATTACTGGTATGTTCCAAAAACGGAGGGAGGGAACAGGTGCACACAAAAAAAAATTATACTGAAATGTATTTGTTCCAAAGCAGAATCAGAATCATTTTTCTTAAAATTTTTCTTTTTTCTCGTAATTTATGTGAGATTGCGAAGACTATGGTGTGTTGTGAGCCTGCATGGCTTGCAGAGTAGTCCAAAATCAGAGAAAAAGAAACAAAAAACTCTTTACAAGTATCTGTGTGGTGAATTGTCAAGTGAGTTTTAGAAGCTACCTACTTTGAATTGTTCATCTGTTGGGATATTTTGGTCAGTTATTGATTAGTTGTTTTTCTTCTTATTTTCTATAAACCTGTGAGTTCTCTCTCTCTTCTCACGTAGTTTAGAAGGCTAATTAAATAAATGTCCCCAACAACTGATGAGTAGAGAGGTATCACCGGGGAGGTAAATCCATCTGTACTGGTGTACCTTTAATTCATTGTTAATATAAAACAGATTACTAGTTAATGCACAAAGTCTGTTTGGAGGCCTGAAACTATGGCACAACCTCTGATGACTGAGCTTTTAAAGTTAGAGGGGGGAATTTATTAAAGGGTTTGCGACTGTTTTCTTACAGTTGCATCTTGTAAAATAATGCTAAAGGAGCGCAAATGATTGTTCCGCATTTGCGTCTTTTTTCCACCACTGCTGCAACACTTAAGTATTTGTGACCAGATGGATTCAATTAGTGACTAGAGGCATAATCCACACACTTATGTCAGATCTGCGACAGTCTTTTGCGCCTGAAATTATACACAGAACAGTCGCATGTTAAGATATCCCCAGGAGGCTGTGTTATCCTGTCAAAAAATTATTTTCACTCCTTCTTTAACCCCTTCCTGAGAAAACAGCTCTACACACCCTTCCCCTTTCTGTCTAATGGCTGGTATGTGAAAGGCAGTGGCATCACAAGGGGGGTGCGGCCCCCGGGTGACACCATTGGAGGGGTCATTTTGGTTTCACCCCCTCTAAAAAGTTGGGCACTCTGTCATGGACCGAGAGCCCGACAGTGTCAGGAGGGAGTAGGGGACCCGGCGAGATACCTCATCCGGCCGGGTGAACGTCCCCTTCTCTCTCTGCCGGCGTCCATCACCAAGATGGCCACCGGCAGGCATCAATTAGATGACCGTGCATGCGCGATGACGCCAGGATGGCCTCAGGATGTCTCTGGTGAAAGGGTTAAAGAGAGTCAGAGGTTATGCTCTGGTAGTTCGGGGTAACCATAAACTGGCATACAGCATGAGGAGATATTGCTGGCATTTGCTTCTTCCTATTGTAAAAGTTGCAGAGTTTGGATAAGGAGCTCACTCATAGATTCATGGCTACAAAGTAGAAGAATCTTCCCTGTTTGCAATGCCTCCCCCATGTCACATATATGTCCATTATGTGTTTCTCCTCCATGTCAGAAATCCTCCTTCTCCGCTCTGCTGCTCATAAATCATCTCTCTGCTGCTTCACACTCTTTCAGAAAACTTTTCTTACTCCCATGTAACCCCCATCTTCCAAACCTTCTCTCTTGTCTCTTCCACCCTCATTAATTTCTTTCTTTGTTGTCCCCCTCCTTCTCCTACCCAATCTCACAAATCTTCTCTCATAAACCACTATCTCTCAGCAGCCGCACTTCTAAAAGCTCTGTGTGACCAAAATGAATAAACATGCGACCTGCTGTTCTACTACACATTCATGAACCCAGATAACACCAGAATAATAATTCAGTAGCACATTGCGGCCAAATTCTGTGTTGCAATAGATATATTGTCACTGAATATATGACTACAATGATAAATTCCCCCCAGAGTATATTGGCAACTAGTTGACATATGACATCTACCAGATGTGCTAACTTTGCCACAGTGAATTCCTGGATACCATTTCAACAGCAATGGACCAATTTTTATACCCTTCAAAATGTTCTGCCACTGTTTATAATTAGGACATCCTATTTAGGCACAAAAGAAACACAATAACCTCAAACTGAACTCATACCCAGTGTTTCTTCCTTCTGTGAACCATGCCTGTAACTCAGTTACTTGGAGTATTGCCTAGACTGAGAGAAACATTTGCGACATCTGCACTTTTTTATGACTGCCCCAATAAAGCTACAAAATGAGATATTTTACGGGACTGTTTCCATACTATGCGTACACAACACTTCCTGGCAGAGAGTTATACATGTGAACTATCCCCAAATATGTTTGTTTCTCATTCTTACAGTCAGTAATTTGTGATGTATTTCCACAGATTACATGCTTTGACTACGACAATGACGGAGGACATGATTTTATAGGAGAATTCCAGACTACAGCACTGAAACTGTGTGAAGCTCGGGATAATCTGACTGTGAGTAGTACCACTTTCTATCAAAAATAGCAAAGGGTAGTGTGTGGAGTGCCGCAAACTATTAGAAACTGCTCATGAAAGGTGAAATCTGATTCGCTAAGGTAGAGCTAACATCACATTTAATTTTTAATGTTTAGAATGACTGAGCCATGTTTGTACAGGCATGGTCCAGGGTCATCTTCTACTTCCTTATTTTGGATGCTGGCTCAGGAAGTGGATATACACTCTAAAGCAACACCCTGCTTTTTAACTGAATTAAGAAAGTATCAGTGAGGGCAGGGGGAGTGTAAATAAGTAAAAAAAATGGAGAATAGACACAATGGAGTTGAAATGTTTGCCCTTTTGTGACTACAATTAATTCCAGGGTCCTTCAACACTGCTGTACGAGGTTGCACTATGCACTTCTTTCTTGTACAAAGGCTGAGAATAGAAATATTACAGCAACCAGCTAAAGTAATCTGCTTTTTACACTGTGTATAAGGTCCCTGAAGCTAAATTATAAGGCTTCAAAAAGAGTTTGTTGTGCAATTTTGTTCAGTTTCAAAGAAGTGTTTGTTTCATCTTACCGTATAAAAAAAAAAAAGGGAAACCTTAGAATATTGCTTCCACTAAATACTGTATGTAGACAATGCTATTACTGATTACTAATGTTCTGTCTGTTATATCAAATATTGTAAATGCAGATGTAGTTCCATTTAAGGAAAACATGGGAAACAAATATATGGGCTGCCCATGCTACACTTTCCTTTTGAAAATTAAAGTTAAATGGCTGTTATACTAAACCCCTCGTTTCTATACTTTAAATCAGGGATCTGGAGCAAGTGTGCAGACAAGGCTCTCCTAGCGCTTACTTTGCTGATCTCCCTACTTGTTCTGGGTCCAGGGCTCATAGGGTATTGAAGGTAGCAGGTCAAGCCAAGCAACCATCATTTTTAAATGGTAGCTCCTCTGTTTCAGGTTTTAGTTGAGGGCAAAGTGACAGTGTCAGCTTGTATATCACCCCTACCATCATTTGACAGTGCTTGGGCCTAGTGGTGGGCTGATGAATACACTGTCACATGGGAGGACGTCACAAACTCCCCCATAGCATCAGATATTTTGCAGAGGCAGGAGTGGCGGGGAACGTTGGCAATGTTAGTATCTGTTGGTCAGTGGAGGCAACCCCTTTACACCAACACTTTGTCTCTAACCTATTGTGAACAGATACTTTACTTTGATTGAGTTTCTATAATAAAGGTGCATCTTTTGTCAGAGTATCTGAGTCTGTATTTTACTATAGCAGCCAATCAGATTCTCCAAATGTTATTATTTAGGGTAGGTTTAAGCTGACCATGGATCATCTGATTCATCAAGAATTGGCCAAAATTTGAGCCATGGGTGGTCCTGCCAGCACCACCTGGCTTAACAATAGTAGATTTAAAATGACAGCATCCTATCAAATACAGGCATCTGCGGTTGCTGTGACTACCTAAATACAAAAGCCGCTGATCCCACACTGGTTGAAATTGCCTAACAGGTGTTAGTTATGTGTTTAGATGAAAGCACTGAGATCTTGAGGAATGCTTAATTAAGTTTTACTTGCTTAGAAGAACGTTGCATACAGTACGTGTATTTAGAATTACATCCTAAAACAGGAAACATATAGATCATAGAGAAGAAAACATATATACAGATATAACTTCCTCTGTATCACAGACAAGTATGCACATAGACAAATTGCATACAGACTAGCTTTGCACCACAGCTCCATCTAGTGCTCAAAAGACATAGTTACAGTCAGCAACACAATCAGTATGCTGTTACATCTCCAACAACAGGAAGTGATTTGAAGCTGACATGTTTATGGTGTTTTTTCTAGCCAAATAAGTATAATAAAGTTGCATGTGTAGAGGATTTTCTTTGTGATATGATTGGCAATACATTTTCTGCTCATTTCAGGTAGAGTTTGAATGTATTAATCCAAAGAAACAAAAGAAAAAAAGAAGCTACAAAAACTCTGGAATAATCATCATTAAATCCTGCAAGGTAGGCCTTACTTGTGACAAGCCTGGATAGTTTGCAATGTCTGAGCATGTTTCACTTTAAAGCGTTAGTTTAAACTAGTTTATGTTATTACTTTTGGTATTTTAATTGTGTTTTGGAGATGTGTTTATGAAACAGTTGATCTGCCGGTGATTTGATGAGCGATTGTCTGTAAAATATACATTTTGTATTAGCATCCCTGGTATCAGGTGCACTACAGTATTACATTAAAGTGTATCTAAACCTAAACTCTTGAAGCATATCTAAACTCGAGAACACAATTGTAATATATAGTAATGCCAATTTGTAGATGCGGTGGCTGCAAGCATTTTCTTTTTACAGACTAAGAACATTTTGAAAACATTCTGTTGATCCTGCTAGAAATGCAGTGTCCTATAACATCCTGTTCACTGAACTGCAATCTTAAACAACGTTATCTGCCTTCCAAGCTGTCAACTGTAAACTACAAAAACTCACCTTTATGTAATTGAGATGAGCAGAGGAGCTATTGTAGTTCAAATCAGGAGACCACCTTAAGGTGATAATGCTGCTTTTCTATTGATACATTACAGCAGTTTTTCTCAATGTTATTTTAGTCATGGCACCCTTTAAAAGTATGCAAAATCTTGAGGCACCCCAATCTACAATGTAAAAAAAATGTAAACAAAATGTGGTCCCTCCAAGATCCATACCAGAACTTTATCCTAGATAGGGGTCCAGTATGGATTTTAATGTAAAAACCCGCAAAAAAAGAAGCTTTGTCCCTTCACATCAGAACTCCCGTTTACATCAGAGCCCCCCTTTCATATCAGAGTTCCCCCTTCACATCAGAAGACTGCCAGCACCATTGGAAGGCATGACACTTTGCAAAAATTTCAAGGCACCCCTAAGGAAGGTAGAAGGCACCCATGGGTGCCATGGCACCCTGGATTAGAAAGGCTGCATTACTGTAAGTGAGGGTTGTCACAGGACACAGGAAGTGTGTTACTGGCAGAATCACCAGGTGAGAATAAGAAAACTAATGCATCTACTACATCTATGGGCTGGTAACATGCAAAATATAGAATTTGGATTTAGATATACTTTAAACCAAGTTCCTGTAATGTCAAAAAGTTGAATGCTGGTTTTTATATGTTTTTTTTTATTTTTTTTATTAAACTATACCGGCAATATGTATCCAAAGACACTTGAATTCTTAGGGTAACAACACATTACGCAGTTAGCTGCAGAGTTGTCACCGTTCTGTAGGTACTTCTGAGTTGGACTACAAGCAGCTGTTTCCATGCCCAGTGCATTGGTACATTTGCTGTAGTCAACACAGTGAAATTGTGATGCTCAACCTCTAGCGGAGCATGCACACATCCACGGGAAATTCCTACAAAAAAGTTTACAGCAGGGATAGGCAACCTCAGCTCTCCAGTCATGCCACAGGCATGACCCTCAGAGGCATGATGACAGCAAGAGTGCCATGGTTGCCTACCCCTGGTCTATATGATGTGCACAGTGCAGGGAGGATAACATGATAAAGTAAGGGGACAAATACACATGTTGTAGTGCAGCGATATTATTGTGCCACACTATGTCACAACAGTGGTATCTAGAACTGCAGTGTGACTTTTCTTTACTAGACTGTTGATGTGTAGTGCTGCTATTTATATTCTTTTAGGCCCATGTCACACTAGCAATCCTGCCACTAGGGAAAATTTGCCAGTGACAAGATCACTAGAAAATACAGGGAGGACGCACACCTGCTTTGTATGTGTCGCTCCCTTTCTGACTTTGGTGGAGAAGCATCGCTTCCTCTCTGGCAGAAATGCTGCAAAATCTGAGTCGCTAGTGAGGTCACTGGTTGCCAGAAGCTGGGCAGGACACCATAGGTGCATTTTATAGTAGCCTCTGCAAGCAGGTGTTTTCCTTCCCTGCTTTCTCCTCCTGCCAGCAACAGGCTCACCAGTGTGTCATGGCCCATATACTTCGTCTCGTAAAAAATGGCTAGAAAAACATGCACGTTTGCTGAAGTGTTTTCAAACACAGGGGCTGGTATCTGAAAAACAAAGCAACTACTTATATGAGAAGTATAAATGTGTCTACAGGAGAAACTGCTTTTGTTTCCCATAGCAGACAATGCAATTCTCCCATTCAGCAGAAACATGAAAGGAATAATCTGATTGGTTGATGTGGGAAACAGAGACTGGTGTCCCTTCACATATGCTCAAACTTCATGTTATTAAAGGCTCAATTCACAAAGCTTTAACACCAGCCAAACATGGTTTTCAGCTACTGTAAGTGACTGTAATTTCCAAATTTCAGTTTTTTTTTTAATAAAGATACTTATTCTGGTGTGAATTGAGTCTTATATCTTACACAGGTTACACTCATAATAGCTAGGGTTTGGTCCGGTCTATCAGTCTCTCATGTGTCTCCTGCAATCTTCTTTGGTTTCCTTTAATTGTCTTTTTTTCTGTAATTGGTCTCTTCCAAGTCCTCCCTGAGGTTTCTCTCACTGCTATTACTATAGACAAGGGTCTGCCAGTGGTGTGTATAGGTTTGTGGTATGGTATCCACGTCTGCTTGAGTACTTACCTAACACTTTTCCCGTGAGAGGCCTCCTTAGTGCACAGCTAGCATTGAAACAATATAGCCATTATATTTTTGTTTCTCAACCTTCTAGTTGGGATGAGGGGCTTCTGTCCAGGATCTTCGCCCTTTGGTAGGGGACCCTTTCTGTCCTGTTTTTTTCTTTTTTTTTATGGTTGTAAACTACTTGAGAGTATACCTTGTTCCTCTGTATGTCGCTGAAATATCTAATAAAATAACTAGGGTTTGTTTGGCATACTCTTTTTGTTTTAAAGGTATCATTGTTTTCTTTTTGTTAGATCACGAGGGATTATACCTTCCTTGACTACATACTAGGGGGATGCCAGTTAATGTTTACAGTAAGTACTGAACACATCTCTTTGTCTGACCATCCTGGCTGTACAAATATACTGGACATTATTGTCATGTATGAAGGGGGCGAAAGAGGTTCATTTACTAAAGAGCGCAGAGTTTTCATTTAGATTAGCAAATAGGGGAAAGCTTTGCTCATTTTGAATACCCAATTATGTGCAAGGGAAATTAACTGAAGTGAATGCAGCTTTACCCTATTTAGTAAGTTAAAAGTGAAAGCAGAACTCCAGCTAAAATATTTTATTTTGAATAGAGAGGGGAAGGGTTAGAACCTCAGATGAGGTATTTGCATATGCTGTGGGAAGAAAGGTTTTTCAACACTTCAAGATTCACTCAATTCCCCAAATTCCATCCCATCTTATCTATCAGCCGTTGTATTCTGACAGCCAACGCCCAAGGCTATCAGAATACTTGAACAGCAACTGCAGCTCATTGGCTGCAGTCACTGTTGTGCCAACAATTTTTCACCTGATTGATTGATTAATTGGCTTTTGTCAAAGTTGGGTAGCACCAGCATGGCCAACAACGGATCAATGTTCGGGCCAGTTCAGCTGGCCAACTTTACAATACATGTTGAAAGCTCTACCAGATTTTTATTGCTGTCTCTGCACCTGGACATGACTTGATGGGAAATCTCTCTAAAGGTGGCCATACACTGTACAACCATCGCAAGACCTTAGTTTTGCGATGGTTGTAAAGTGATTAAAAAAACGTACGATCTGCCCATCTTGGACAGGCAGATCATACTCTCGATCATCGCAAGCCCGCCCCCCTGAGGGTCGGGCTTACGATGACTGTAATGAGGGGCGGGCTTACAATGACTGCAAACGGGCAGTGTGCGCGTGCGCACACTGGCCCGTTCGGCAGTTGTCGAACCAGCAGGCCACTAACTCGGCGAGAATCGTACGATTCCCGGCGGGTTTTCTAGCATGCTGGTTCGACGGAAGACGTGCGACCGTACAGTAGAAACGGTTGCACGCCTTCCATACACTGCACGATTCTTGTACGATCGCGGGATTTCCCGCGATTCTCGTACGAGAATCGTGCAGTGTATGGGCACCTAAACAGGGACAAAATCACCTTTCTAGTAGAATGAAGAAGGTCTAGAACTTATGACCTTATTTTAATATTATTAGTTGTTATTATTATATTGTTAGTGCCTTCCTGTTCAGGTGACACCAGCACCCTAATAGACAAGAAATTAAAGAAAATCTCCAAAATAGGATCACAAATAGTAACCTGAAATAAATCAGGGTTGTTTGTGTGAAATGCTAATATATAAATTGACGCATAAATAAAAAAAATAAAAACTTTTATTTCCTATATAAAACAGAGCCCTTCGACATTTATAAATACAGTATATTGGTTAAAGCCATACATAGATCCATTCCAAAATTATTGATTCAATGATGTACATGCAGTTTAGATGTTAAACATTTCTTTAACAGATTAATTTTACCAACTGAACTGCATTTACATCCTAGAAAAGTGGACTTTGCCCCAAGATGGATGAAAATCTGCATATGCAATAGACTATAGACTATGTGATGAACACAACAATGATTTTGCAGTGGATCCATGTATGACCGTAACATTGTAAATGTCGAAGGCAACCAATCTCATCCAGGGTTTCATGGTACCCTGGGGTACCACAGGAGGTTGCTAGGAGCTCCTTGAACTGCGGCCGACCTACAATTTGATGGTGCCACCTTATTTCACGGGCCAGCACCACTTGTCATAGTCAGCTATAGGACACCAATGATCTTTTTAGCTATCTGTAAGGGTGGATTGCTGACCACCACTGTAAGGCATTCTTTCCACTGGCCGCAAATCTAAGGGACATTTTTCCCAGTGCCCTTCAAGTAATTCGTTTTAGCAGTGGTTCCCCAAGACCTGAAAATGGTTTCTGGGGTAAAAGGTTGGCCAAAGCACTTTGTTTTATATGAGGAAATACAACTTTGAATTTTGTTTATATATGTGTCAGTTTATATATTAGCATGCCACCAATATCCTCTTATTTATTGTTCCTTTTTACGTTTGTATGATTTGCAGTTGGGAACTTCCCCGCTCTATCCAAAGCAAAAACATATATGGAGTTGAGCTTCAAGCAGAACTCCAGGCAAAAGTGTTCTTAACCCTTGAAGAGGGGCTACGCACTGCAAAGGTTAAGTGCTCGTTTTTGTCTAGGTGCTAAAAAAAAAGTTATACTCAACTGAACCCCAGAGCCAGCTGGCTGCTACTCCGGTGCCTGAAGCCTCACTTCTCCTCAGCTGCAGCGATGGTATGTCCCTTGGTATCATCACTTCCTATACACTGTGTATGGAATGTGATAACTCAAGGATCCTAAGATCACTGTGACGGAGGGACAGAGAGGCTCCCGGGACTCCAGCCGGCTCCGAGTATAACTTTTTTTATTAGCACCCAGACAAAAATTAGCACTCCTTCCACTGTGGGGGTAGACCCACTGCAGGGGCTAAGAACTCCTTTGCCTGGAGTTCTGCTTTAAAAGTTTTGTACTCCTTTAGTGAAGTCGGGTAATTCCAGGTCAAGGGAGGTAGACAGTTGCTGTTAGCACAGTAAAAGCTTTGTGTGAAATGCCATTTGGTAGAAATACATGACACAATTTCCCTCTTGGCACTTGTGTACTAAGTATGACAACAGAGCTCTCAAATAATCTTGCCTGGCACTCAACTCTTCTTTATACTTGCTGGAATACTGGCACCTCCGAGCTTATTATAAAGGTGGATCTATGGTAAGGACTAGGTGATGCTTAATCATAAGGGGGGGGGTCATCTTAGTTCCAACATATAACATCATTATACATTTGGGGAGATAAGTGCAAGCAATAAGCAGATATCGCTAGATAATCATTCCCTAGTGGCCTGTGTCATAGAGTGCAGTTATGCTGTATTCGGTTTCTGGCCTGCTAATTTACAGTATTGATCCTCTCTGTATTGTGATTCCCCTAAACCTGCTCATTAACTCCAAAACATTGTGTAATGCTCTTCTCTACAAAATGTGAAATGCCACTGTCCTCTTTGTACATGTGATATGGCTTTTAAAGCCATTTGAAGACTGCTGATGCAGGTGTTTTACTGGTAAATAATATATTTGGGTTGTCACATTTTTAGTGCATGGAGGGCAAATGAGTGTTAGGATTTCTTGCCCTCAATTACAAGATAGGGAAATATAATATTTCAGATAGGTTAGATTACAGATAATAGATACATTATGTTTTACAAAGGTTCTTCAATGTTAACATGTCTTTTGAGACTTAAATAACTTGTACATTAGGCACAATGGCTCTTAAAATGATAATGTACCTCTTGGCAAACAAATACTTCACAATGGGTATATAAATTAATCACTCACTACTTTCTATGCGGGGAAGATTTGTAATGAAAGCATATGTAAAATCTTATATAAGCTTATAAGGGTATCTATGGTCAAAAACTAAAAATACATTTGTACTTCTAAATTGAATTTCAATAAGTTCTATCACACGCCTAATAACCATATCCATCTAGACGTTTGTAAACATACTTATTTAAGATGCCCATAGGATCTAAGATGCCCATAGGATCTACTTCCTCAATGTACTGACACAATTTCACTCAGCCCTGTGAATATGCACTGCCTTGTGTTACAACTCACAGCCTGCTTCCTGAATTATAACTCAACCTATAAACAATGTAACATTATCATTGCTTGTTGGAAACAATGCACGGTGGAATATGTAGTCTTGAGAAATCAAGATTGCATCACATCAAGCAGCAGGGAAAGAGATGCAAAGCACACTGGGAGTTGTTACCTAGCAATGCCTATGGATGGCATACCTGGTCACAAGGGGACGTTTTCCACATTCTGTGGTAAATATGTGACCAGGATTTTCCAGCCCTGCATTAATTACACAGTAACTTATCTCTCATGATAAAGTATCATTTAAGTTCACCATGATGTCATCTGTGTCCTTGCTCTGCATTCTCACGCCGAGCACCTTTTACCTCCCCATGGCTACTTATTTGTCAGCCTGCCCTTGTGTTATCACAGCAAAATTAAAGAGTATTCTTTATCAGTTCACAACATATTCATATTTCATAAATCACATGTGCTGACAGTGCCCCAGGATAGTAACTTTGTGATACATAACCACAGTACAATACCCTTGAAGACAGCAACGTGGCATACCAGTACACTGATCAATGTTAAATATATTTACTTTGGGTAAATGTTTTACCAAAGAGAGTTGGTTAGAATGTACTGTTATTGCTGTATATCATGTATTAAAAACTGTATTTTTAATAATAGACAGACCCCTCAAAGGATTGCCAAGTATATTCCCATACCGCCTTCACCAGACTATCATCATTATTATAAAAAGCCCTATTATGTACCAGTATGACTTTAAAATATGTTAATAGCTTGGTTTTACAATACATATGAAAAGCTAGCAATAGAAAAGCTGAAAGAAATGTATAAGGATTTTACTATGTATATTTATATAAAAATGGCAAATCACAAATACATAAGATAACCAAAAGTAGTAAATTGTTGCCGTTATTTTTGTGCAATAAAAACATGAAATGCAGCTACAGCTACTGACGATTGTACTTGCATGTCCCCTGGCATTCCATTTCCAGTTCAGTAGTGCAGGGAAACCGGTTTCACAGAGATATGTAGTTATGAATTGAGCCAAAACATTCTTTGCCCTCAAGCCAACCCGTTTTAAAAATGGTGATAGTCAATAATCTAATTATTAGATTCTATTCCAACAGCAACTTTATTTTAATTATTCAAAGATCCAGTGCCATACCCTCATCATCCGAAGGGGTGGGGCTACCTTGGTTAAGAGCCCCTGGTTTATATTAAAGCCCCACTCTGGTCAGGGACCCCTCTTAAAACAAACACTAAATCCCACCCCCCTCTATTTGCTGCATTGAGTCTAAAATCCCACCTTACTGACATAAATTCATGGTCATGTGGCATGCCAGGTGCCAAATCATATGTCTTCTGGATTGTAGAATGGGAGGTTTGTTCTTTAGGTGCCCATACACTGCACGATTCTCGTACGAGAATCGCAGGAAATCCCGCGATCATACGAGAATCGTGCAGTATGAATGAAGACGTGCGACCGTTTCTACTGTACGGTCGCACGTCTTTTGTCTAAGGAGCACGCTAGAAAACCAGCCGAAAATCTTACGATTTTCGGCTGGTTCGAACGGTGCTTAGGAGACAAATGCCGAACGGGCCAGTGTGCGCACACTGCCCGTTCAGCATTGCGATCATCGGAAGCCCGCCCCTCAGGGGGGCGGGCTTCTGATGATCACAAGTACGATCTGCCTGTCCAAGATGGGCAAATCGTACGTTTTTTTATTACTTTACAACCATCGCAAGACTAAGGTCTTGCGATGGTTGTAAAGTGTATGGCAACCTTTAGACTGTCCACGTCGCTACCTGGTTGACATACAGACTTTCCACAGTAGCCTGTGCTAATTCGCAATCACCACTCCCAGGACTGGCACCGGCGAGAATCACATGAAGGTGGACTTAGATGAGTCAAAAACAGCATTGAAAGCCCTTTTTGTGCTTCAAGTGTCTATAGGTGTGCTTGAAGTGTCTATAAGTGCAAATATAACATAATTGTATAAGGAAGACTTATTTAAAATGCATTGATGTGCTGACACCTGTTTATATCAACCACTTTTTCTTGCTAATAAAATCTATCCTGACAGTTACCTCTTCCTGGTTTGAAATGACAACACTATGCATAGGCAGTTCTTGCTGTATCAGCGTTGTCACTTCTGCATACTCTCTTGTGTTCCCATTCTAATGCATGCCATGCCTGTGCACAGTGTGCTCTGTCTGTCCCTTACTGCACATGTCACAAGCTGTTGATTGACAATGGCTCCTGCAGGGGGCCTCACTATCAAATAGGCACGCAGCAATCTGGCGGCTATTTTTGAAAGTAACACAGCCATAGGATTCCAAGTGTCTACATGCTATTAAAATACTATGCCTGTTACCCCAAAATGTTTACATTTGGCTAAATAATATTCACGCATGACATGCTGTGGCTTAGTCCTCCCTGGTCCTGCATAGCACATAGTGGTCATGTTATTGCTTGATAAATAGGGAAAGAAAAGGTAATGTCTTCATTCTTTACATGGGAATGTTTCCTTATTGTGTGCCATAGGTATATATATATATATATAAATAATATATATACTATATTACCAAAAGTATTGGGACACCCCTCCAAATCATTGGATTCAGGTGTTCTGTGAAATTTCCTTGCTGCTAAATATTCCGCGGTCAACTGTTAGTGGTAGGCCACGCAACATGACAGAGCGGGGTCAGCGTATGCTGAAGCGCATAGTGCGCAGAAGTGCCCAACTGAGCAGAGTCAATAGCTACAGACCTCCAAACTTCATGTGGCCTTCAGATTGGCACAACAACAGTGCGTAGAGAGCTTCATGGAATGGGTTTCCATGGCCGAGCAGCTGCATTCAAACCTTACATCACCAAGTGCAATGCAAAGCGTCTGATGCAGTGGTGTAAAGCACGCTGCCACTGGACTCTAGAGAAGTGGAGACGTCTTCTCTGGAGTGACGAATCACGCTTCTCTGTCTGGCAATCCGATGGACGTGTCTGGCGGTTGCCAGGAGAACGGTACTTGCCTGACTGCATTGTGCCAAGTGTAAAGTTTGGTGGAGGGGGTATTATGGTGTGGGGATGTTTTCAGGGGTTGGGCTTGGCCCCTTAGTTCCAGTGAAGGGAACTCATAAGGCATCAGCATACCAAGACATTTTGGACAATTTCATGCTCCCAACTTTGTGGGAACAGTTTGGGGATGGCCCCTTCCTGTTCCAACATGACTGCGCACTAGTGCACAAAGCAAGGTCCATAAAGACATGGATGAGGGAGTTTGGGGTGGAGGAACTTTACTGACCTGCACAGAGTCCTGACCTCAACCCAGTAGAACACCTTTGGGAGGAATTAGAGCGGAGAGTGCGAGCACAGCTTTCTTGTCCAACATCAGTACCTGACCTCACAAATGCGCTTCTGGAAGAATGGTCAAACATTCCCATAGACACACTCCTAAACCTTGTGGACAGCCTTCCCTGAAAAGTTGAAGCTGTTATGGGGGGTGGGCCAACTCAATATTGAACCCTACGGACTTAGACTGGGATACCATTAAAGTTAATGTGCGTGTAAAGGCAGGCGTCCCAATACTTTTA